TTCTTCTTCTTCTTCTTCTTCTTCTTCTTCTTCTTCTTCTTCTTCTTCTTCTTCTTCTTCTTCTTCTTCTTCTTCTTCTCCTCCTTCTTCTGTTCCGTCTTCTGTTCCTTCTTCTCCTTCCCCCCCTTTCCATCATCCTCCTCACCCTCTCACATGCTCCCCCCCACCACCACCACCTCCCCACCCCAACAAATCACCACAGGATCATAGGGCCGCTTTTTCACACGTAGCCCCCATTCTCTTTCTTCTTTAAAAAAAAATCACAGATTCAGAAAGCCACTTCCTTCTACCCTTCACCCATCCCCTCCTCCTCCACCTCTTTCTTTCCATCATCCAACTCACCCTCTCAACACCCCCCAACCCCCACCTCCCCTCCCTCCAACAACTCACCACAGGATCAGAGGGTGACTTCCTCAAAGCTTCCATCAGTTTCTGCACATCATCATCATCAATGCCGCAGTTCACAAAGTTCACAAACCGGATCTTGGAGGCCGTCTCCAGAAACTTGGCCGCCTCGTACACCTGATATTGAATTGTTGATGAAATTGATGAAAACATTAAGGAGGAGGAGAGCACAAACAACGACAACAACAATTATAGTAATAACAACGACAACAACAACAACAACAATGATGCTAATAACAATAACAACAACAACAACAACAATGATGATAATACACCCACACAAACACCACCAACACCCCACCTCCCCTACCCCATCCACTCTTTATCTCTAACACCCCACCCACATCCCTCACCCACCCACACCCCATCCACACACCCCACCCACATCCCTCACCCACCCACACCCCATCCACACAACCCACCCACATCCCTCACCCACCCACACACCATCCACACACCCCATCTCTCTTAGTATAACCCACAAGAGGCTATAATAAAAACAATGACAACAATGATAATGATAATAACAACAACAACAACAACAAAAATGATGATAATACACCCACCCACACACCACCAACACCCCATCTCCCTCACACCATCCACACACCCCACCCACCCCATCCCATCTCCCTCACCCACCCACACCCGATCCTCGCACACCCACTCACCACACACACACCATTAACACCCCACCTCCCCTAGTATAACCCACCTGAGACTTGTTCAGCGTGACCCCCTTCACCTCCAGCGTGGTCTGACTCGCCTCCAGCAAGGGCAGAATAATCCCGTCCCGAGGTTTGGACGGAGTTACTTCCGCTAGAGACTTCGCCACGGTGATGCCACCGTCGTCGTTGGCAACATTGTCCGGGTCAGCACCTGAAACGTAGCACACGTCAATAGATCTTTCTTGCTGATGATTGTTGGTTGTTGTTGTGTGTGTGTGTGTGGTAGCCTATCTGTTCGAAATGTTTGGAGCCCCAAAGAGCGTGCTCTTCGCCAGGGCCACTGCCTCCCTTGGTTGTTGTTGTTGCTGATGATGTTGTTATTGTTGTTGTTGATGTCGTTGTCATTTTCGTTGTTGTTGTTTTGGGGTTTTTTAAGTGTCCATTTTCTAAAGTAGCAAGCTTGTCACCGAGTGATGTCTCATTATCTCATTTCTTTCCTCTCCTCCTCCAAACTATACAGCCATCTCTCCTCCCCTCCTCTATAAAATAACATACACAAAAAAAAGAAGGAGGAGAGATAAGGACGATAGATGTTTGACAGGAAATAAGGAAGAGAGAAGGATGATAGATGTTTGACAGGAAAGAAGGAGGAGAGATAAGGACGATAGATGTTTTATTGGAAAGAAGGAGGAGAGATAAGGACGATAGATGTTTCATTGGAAAGAAGGAAGAGAGATAAGGACGATAGATGTTTGACAGGAAAGGAGGAAAGGTAAGGACAATAGATGTTTCATAGGAAAGAAGGAGCAGACCACACTGGAGCACCCACCAACCACTCACCTCCATGAGTCGCCTCAGGGTCACTGTCCTCTGAAATGACCAGAAACAACGACGGGTCAGCCGAATATGTTCACAGAGTTTCTCGCAGTTAAGTCTCATCACTAATTAATGAACATAAAGGTCAGGAGTCTGTAAGATGCAGTATACAGTTTCACACCCACACACACACATGCACATATACACAAACAAACACACACACACATACACGCACACACACAAACTAACAAACACAC